TCAAACTGAAATCCACTGACTCCAAATGGAATGTTCTTCACCCAAACCACAGTATCTCTCACAACCTTTCTTAGCCTCAGTTTTCTCAACAGTAACATGGAAATAATACCTGCCTGCCTATCACACAGGATTGGTGTGAAGTTTAAATAATGTGATGTCCATGAGGGTACTTTACCAATGGAAAATCACTATATAAATTTGACATTATTAATAAGTAAAATCTTCTGCTGATATATTATGGCCTATATGCTTACAAGAAAAGGAGTTGGCGCCAGCCTTCCAAGATGTTCAATGAAGACATTTCAGGGTGGGGCCTTGAGCCAAAGTATGACATGGACTCTTGATGACAAGGCTATCTCATACACAATACTATTACCTTGAAAATTCCAAAGACTCTGAATTTTACCTCTCTAATCGACTACAATTACAAGGATTTCCCCACTTGTAAACTGGTGGAATAATCTCTGGCATCTTCAGCTGGCATTATGTCAGAGCAGAAGGAAGAAAAACAGTTCTTGAAGAATGGAGTGTTTCACACTGCTCAGTTGAACTGAAAGGATAATTAAAGAATGATGCTAACCAGACAGAAGGAGCCTTGATTAGGCCTTCGATTTTGCATTTAAAATGTCCATTGAAAAGACATCTCTGTGGTTAACTTAGTGGCATCATGAGCTAATGCATCACTCTATATAGCACAGGGCACAGATTCTAAATTGCATTCCCGTGGCCTGGGCAAAAGTCCAATAAGGGACAACACATCCCATTACTGCCTGGCATCTGCTGATGAAGAATAGCTCTTGCCCACAAGAACAAAATGATTAATTTCCCTTTATGTGATAAAGAAACTCCAACTTGCCCTCCCTGAAACCCAGAAAAGGGATTCCGTAAATAAGCAGACTGAGGTCAAAGAAACAGAGCTTCCACCTTTGGTGCTGAACTCATAGTATCAGCTGAATGAACTTTAGGATGATGATTTTGTATTTAACAGGGAAGAAAGCAACCTCATGTGCAGAACGTAAAAGCATATGCTGCTTTTAGCCTTCTCCCATTCTCACCAAAGGATCTCAGTTTTGTTTCCTAACTTGTGAAATGTAATTCTCTGGCCTAAGTATTTTCTCAATTCTTCATGTTAAGTTATTTGCTCAAGGCATCAGTGTCTATGACTAGGAAGGTGATGGCCTTGATCAGACCAGATCTGGAATATTTTGTTCAGATCTGGGCACCATATTTTAGCAGGATGGTGAAGGACCTCATGGACATGTCATCTGGAGCTTGAGTGAAAGGACTGGGGATGTATAGCCTGGAGGAGAGAAGATGTCTGCAACATAGCAGGAGCTTAATAAATGTTTATTGATTGGCTGATTGATGCCCAACAGATGCCTTCTAGTACTTTAAGAACTGTCACATGGAAGAGGGAATTCAACTTGTACTGCTCGGTCTCAAAAGCCAGAACCAAGAGTAATGGGTGGGAGTTGTCAGCAAGAGAAAACTGGGCTCAAGATAAAGGGAATCTGCCTAACAGAGCTATCCAGAAGTAGCATGGGGGACCCTTTGTGAAGTATGATGGAGGACAGAGTCTTTTTTAACAAATAGGATGGATCAAATGGCTGAGATCACTTCCAAGTCAGACTCTGTGAGTGTATGAATCTCTAGTTTAGATTTAAAAAAAAAAAAAAAGCTCTTTTAAATTTAGAAAGCCTGGGAAAAGGCTCAATTTTTTAATTTGCATTTTAAGTCTTACAGGAATGGCAAAATATGAAGTGTCATGGCTGGAAGGGACATTACTGATCACCCAACCCCTTCATTTACAGATGAGGAAAATGAGGTGAAATGACTTGCCCACAGTCAACATAGTTAATAAAAGAATTAGAATTGGAAGCCAGTCTTCCTGACCCCTAGTCTGCTGTTCTTCCCACCAGACCATGCTCACCAGAGAGTTTAAAGTGATTTGTGGAAGTCATCTGAACATATCTCCCATAACCACAGTTAAATCTTCCCAGACAGATGAATCACTATCTTATTTGCTTGTTTTTTAAACTTTATAGAGAAGATTTCTCATCCTTTCTCATTAGCCCATTCCAATATTTAACAGCCTTCACTAATCATAATTTTGCCTTACATCTAATCAAATCCTTCATGCTGCAATTTAATTCAATTTCTTCTTCTTCGATGATGAAAACATCTGGCCACCATCATAAGAAAAACTCTTAAAAAATTCTAAAGCCTGATACACAGAAAGTGCTTAATAAATGCTTCTCAACTTGACTAGATCAGTAACAATAATTCTTATGTTTCCATAGCACTTCGAGGTTTACAAATTTCTTCTCCCACAACTACTCTGGGAGGTAGTCTATTAGTAGTACCATGTTACAGATGAGAAACCTGAGACTCAAAGGTAGTGACGTGATTTATCCCTTAGTTACACAGTTATTCAAATCTATTTAAATTAGGTTGAATCCTGATCAATCCTGCATTCTTCCAACTCCCTTGCAAGAACTCATCTGAAATTTGGTCTCTAAACTAGGTCCCAGAAAATTGAGTCCCCCACAAAAGTAGTCATTGTAACTTACACCTGAAAAAATATCATAAAGGATGTGTAATGGGAATTAGTTCTTCGAATTCCTTATTTCCTTCAAATGTCAATTCAAGTACCACCTTCTATATGAAATCTTTCTTAATCCCCTCAGCTTCTAGATTCTTTGCTCCTCAAACTGTATTGCATTCATTTTGTGTATGTTCCAAATGTAGGTACACGTTATACATTCTATCTGCCTTCTTAGAATGTAAGTTCCTTGAGGGCAACCAGGGACAGTGTCATGTTTGTCTTGGTATTCCAAGCATTAAGCACAGTGCCTGGCACATGTTGCTGAGTCATTTTCAGTTGTGTTTTGCTCTTTGTGACCCCATTTAGGGTTTTCTTGGCAGAGATACTGGGTGCTTTGCCATTTGCTTCTCCAGCTCATTTTACAGATGAGGAAACTGAGGCAAACAAGGTTAAGAGACTTGCCCAGGGTCACAAAGCTAGTATGTGTCTGAGGCCAGATTTGAACCCAGGAAGATTAGTCTTTCTGACTTGAAACCCAGCCCTTTATTCACTGTGCCACCTAACTGCCTGGTGCACAATATTCTAATATATATTTGTTTAGTTGGGTCTCTGCCTTCTGTGACACAAAGGGTCAACATTCTTGGCACTTTCCTAGAGCCAGGGTGAGATGTGGTAGGAGGAACTATGAAGAATATAAGACTAGAATGAAAGAAACTACTAACCCTTTAATTATTGTCACCCTAACGAGTTCAGAAATTGTGTGTATTCCCCAACACTTCCCTCTGATTTCTCTAGTATTGGTAGGAAATATTAAAGTTGTCCAAAAGATGTAACATCCCTTTTAAGAGTTCTAATATAACTCCCTAGATGGTTGAGGGAAACATGTAAGTCCAAAAGCGAACTGCAGTGAAACTAAAGTCCACCACAGGTAAAATGCCTAACCTTTGACGGTCTCAGCTGTATGTCATTGTCACAACTAGAAATAAAAGCCACTCTAAGGGCACTGTGATTTTTCTGCAAGTGTGTCATCACTGGAAAGACTTTCAGTTCTCTCCTTCCCACTCTTCCCTCCACTTCCATCATCAACAGAATAAAGTCACATTCTCTAGTGTTTGCCCAGGGTTGGGACAAGCACAAGGCAGGCCTGGCCAATTCCCATGCTACGTGTCAGGACACTGGGCTGCCTGTCCTTCACATTCTGCCAATTGTCCTCTGGAGGAGCCCACTTCTAGCCTTGTCTATGCTGAAATCACCACAGAACCACCCGATGTTATCGTATTTGTTTTCAATGCTAGCCAGGGAAAGTCTTCCCCCCAAAAAAATTTTTAATAAGGAAATCTGAAACTAAATTGAAATGCAGATATGACTCCAGTAATGATTACAATAAGAATACATATTATACACAACTTTGCCATTTGCAAAGTACTTTTCACACATTACCTCATTTAATTCTAATACCCGTGTGACTGTGGGCAGGTCATTGAGGATCAGAGGATCACAATGTAGTGCAGGAAGAGACTTCAGGGCCTCTCTGGTCCAACTCTCTCCATTTTACAGATGAGGAAACTGAAGCCCGGAAAGATTAACTTAACTGTTCAAAGTCAACTAGGTAGGAAATGTCCAAGGTGGAATTTGAACCCATGTCCTCTGAGTCCAGAGCCAGTGCTGCTTCTACCATATAGTGCACCTTACTTAATCTCTCAGCCTCAGTTTCCTTATTTGTAAAATGAGGGGGTTGAATTAGAGGACTCTACGGTCCCTTCCCGCTCGAGAGCTTTGATCCCATGATTCTACTTCTAACATCCAAGCGGTTATTTATAGGTAACGTTCTAGACACGAAAAATGCTCAGATTCAGATTATAATTCACCAGGAAAAGAAATTGTGAAACCAAGACAGGAAGAGGGACTGAGCCTGAGATTTCACTAGAATATAGGATTCCGGGATGAGGAACCTCCTACTAATGTAGATAAACACCTTTTCTGTAACTTAAGGTCTTAAAGAGTTTCACTTGCCAAGGGTCACATAGTCAGTATGTTTCAGGGGCAGAACTTGAATCCAGGCTTCTGAGTTTGGACCATTTGGATGTGCAGATAGAGCTATCAACAGGAAGTAGGAGACAAACTGTGGATTACTACAACACACCACCTTTCTAAAGATGCTAGAGATTAAAGATGCTTTAACTTTTACATTGCTTTTAGTTAACAATAAGAGAAGTCCCCTATCCTTGATAGACTTGCAAATTTATATATTACATCAAGGGAATTAGTAGCATGTACCATATTCAATTACTTGTTCAACTTAGTTCTAAGAAACTATTAAATTCATAAATCGTTGACTACCAGATTTTTTTCTCTTTTTTTAATTTCTTGCTTATTGCAGCTATTTTCTTAATAGTTTCAAGTCTTCAGAGCTGGTGTAGATAAAACCACTTGGTCAGCAAATAGCATCACTTACCAGAGCATTCACATCTTCTGTTTTGTAAATCAACATTCGTATCTCTTCTGGATCACCACTGAAGATTGCTTGGACCAGTGGGGGCTGTAAACATAAGAAGAATTAAAGCCAGGATTTAATTATTTTTAAGATAAAATCTATCTTGACAATATGTTTTATTTAACTACATTTTAATATATGTCTAACACATAAGATTTATGGAGTAAATGAGTGACAGGATCATAACTGTGCATTAAAAATAAAAATATTACTCCATTAACAAATGGGAGGTAGATTGAAGAGGGGATATATTGGAGCTGGAAAGGTCAGTGAGAAGCCTATTATATAATGATCTAATTAAAAAGAAGTGAGGACCTGAACCAAGGAATATAGAGGAGAGGCTGATCATAAGACACCTTGCATCTGGACTTGACTTGGCATCTAATTGGATGTAGGGGCTGAGGAAAAGATGAGAAGCAAAAATGACTCTGGGGTTTCAAATTAAAAGTGACATCGGAAGGATGCTGGGACCAGTGGGCATAGATGAGAAATTCAATATTGGATATGTTGAGTTGGAGGCTGTGGGACATTCAGGTAGAGCTATCTGATGGGAAATATCAGGTTAGCTATGGGAAGCATTGGAGTAGAGATACAGATTTTCAAATTATCTGAACAGCGTTAATAATTGAAACCAAGACAAATAACCAAGGAGGACAGTATATGAAGTAAGAGGGCCAAAGGCAAAATCTTATGGGCCTCCCAAAATTAGAGAAATAGTGAGAAGCCCGAGAAGAAGACAGAAGGGATGGTTAGAAAGAAAGGAGAAGCAGTAGAATTAGGTGTTGCAACGTCACATAAACCAAGAAGGGAATAGATCTCAAGGAAGAGGTGGTAAATAACGTCAATTCAAGGAGGATAGGGAAAGGAAAATATGTCATTTAATTGAAAGATATAAAGAGGTGGCTTTTGACTGTAGAGTGAAACATTTCAGTAGAGTGGTGGAGATTGACACAAGGTTGCAGTAGGTTTAAAAATTAGTGGTAAGTAAGTAGAATCTATTTTTTTAGATACTACATCTTTTCAAAAGGCTAGAAATACAGAGACGACCTAAGGACCCAATGAGACAACTGACTGGCACAGGACCTTTGAGCTGATCCATTTCTGACCTATCCTGCTTCGCCCCTCCTTGGCTTCACCATAGTAACATCCATCTAATTGTAGCATCAACACAGCTTACTACAGTTCAGAATTCCTAAGTACAAAAGATCCACTTACCTTAGCTTTCCCCAAAACTGGAATTACAGGCATGAGCTACCACACTCAGTAGAGCCTATTCTTTCTAGAAGCTTGAACATGAAAGACAATAGAGACAAAGGACAATAATTTGAAGGGCAACTGTAAGGAAGAGAAAGAAGACAAATAAAAGGAAGGGGAATTATTTAAACAGAAAACTCACAGAAGAGACGGGAAGGGACAGGATGGACATTACAAACAGAGAGTGTAGCCCTGGTAAGGAGGAGGGTCACTTCATTCTATGGATGGAAGGAAAAAGAAGAGGATGGATGAGGACACTGGGAAGTTTTGAGAAGGAAAGTTGGGGAAGTCATTTTAAATGGTCTCAATCTTCTTGACACAGGGAGCAAATGAGGGGAGAGTAGGTAGAATTGGGGACTTGAAGAGAAAATAGAAGATTTAGGACTATCATTCTGGAGAAAGTGATAGAGTCAATAAAAGAAGAATAAAAAGGATTCTCTCCAATAGAGATTGGTCAGCATAAATGTGTAACAAACCCAATCAGAAGTTTCCTGATTATCTCCAGCAGTCTTCATCATCTGGGGAGGACCAGTGAAGGAAGAGGACAATAGAAATAAAGTATCTTCATCTAGGGATAGATATGCAGGGTATGCGTGGCTGAGAGAAATGGTTATTAATAACCAATAATTTGGGGAGACTCAGAGTTTTCCCCTTGTAAAGTCCTAATTTAAAAAAATAAAAAGTTCAGTCTCTTGATAATGAGATTAAATTAACTCTCCTCCAACTTGCTCTGGAAGTCTATTGTGCTCTACTCAGGTTTGGGTGGGGATAAAGTCTTTGATTAGATTGCCCAAAGCTGGGGGTGGCTGGGTAAAGAGATAAGAACCTCAGTCCAAGGAAGACATGATGTCACTCTTACTCCCTCATTTTAATATAGCTCACCCCCCATTGTGTTAACCAGAGTTGATTGCCACTTTTCTTCCAAAAGAACATATAAACCCTCTGGTCTTACAGAGTTGTCCAAATGACCATCCTTTTATTAATAACATTCTGGCCTTATTAATAAAATGATTAAATTACCCAGAAGCTATGTCTTTCAAAGCTTTTTAAATGCCACATGGCAGAGGGTAAGAGATTAAAGGATAGAGAAATTAGTGGGTCAAGAGACTGACAGTTACTAACAAGATTAAATTTCTCTTTAAGTAATTCCCCTTTCTCTCATTCAATAATGTCAATATTAACAGTTGACGTGTACATCCAGCTTTAAGGTTGGCCTCACATATATCTCACAGCAACTCTGTGGGGCTCTTTTGGTCCAAATCTGTCATTATATTGATATGATGAAATTTATTCTCCCAAAATAGATTAGAAGCTTCTACTCTAGAGTTGCTTGGAGAAATCAAGTGATTTGACTAGGGTCATATATAAGGGACACTTGAACTAAGGTCTTCCTGATAGCAAAGTTATTTCTCTGTACCACTGTGCCAGGTACCAGCATGGCAGTATTATTATGTCCATTTTATCAATGAGAAGACTTCAGTGAAAAGGTTAACTGACTTACTCAGGGTCACACAGCTAATAAGTGTTCAAAGTGAAATTCAAACCCAGGGGTTATATGAAGAGATTATGGGCAAAGAAAAGAATTTCAGAATTTGGTATCTTTGAGGTGTAATTTTCATGGTAATGGTGAGATTTAAGGTATCACCTCCCCGGAGGGTGCATGAAACAGACAAGAGAAGAAGATGGAAGGAGCTCCAATCTACCCTAATTCTTTCCTACTTTCTCTTTTAACTTCAGTTCTGTTGGAAGGAATAAGAATCAGGGGTGGGTTGTCAACAAGAAAGGAAGAGAGGAGTCAAGGAAATGGATGCAGGTTTTCTACTATTTGTTGATTTTTAGTTCTTTGAGGACTTTGAACTTAATGTTTAAAGATAAAAAGATTACTTGGGGACAAATCTATCTACTACCCTAATATCATTCCTTCAGGTAACACTCAGGCAGACATGGTTTTCGAGATAATTTTTTTAAAAATTTGTGCCATAAGGCACTTGGTAAGAGGATATATCAAGAAACTTCATGAAGTGAAATCTCATTTTCTTTTCTCAAGGAAAATCTGAAAAACTGTCTTCTGCAGTAGTCAATTTGCCATAAATGTGTATGATATTTTATGCCTTTTTGAGCCCTCAACAGTGAAGAAAATGATAGGAGTTATCCAGGCCTTTTGGGGATTTTGAATGAAAAATCCAACTTCTTCTATCAACAAGCTGTGCAATGAAGACTCTGAAGCCAAACCCTTCCATTGTGTTGAAATTAATCTCTCTGAGTCACCTATGCAACCAGGAATTTGGAGAGCAAGGTAGATCATCACTCACCTATTTAAAGGAATCTGTAGACTGCACTGTTACTTTTTGTATTTATTCATCAAGGAAAGCAAACAGTTCTAAGCTATGCCTGGAATGTTCTCAAGGAGAGCCTCTGGGGACACTTGGACCAAAGAGTGAAACCAGTGTGTAGGACAGGAGTGGTGTGTGTGTATATAGCTCACTCATCTCCACTGGGCCTATTTACTCTGCAGAACACTGAGGGCCCCTATACCATGCATCCACCAGTAGTGGAGCTCTTTAGAGACCTACAAAGTGTCAAAGCCTCAGGTCTTAGGAATTCCAGTTTTATGTACATATACACCCCTTACACATTCTCTGTGAAACAGAACATATTTGTTTCCTCAAGCCTGAAGAGAGCAGCACAAGCCACAGTGATGGTATTAGTCTGATCATGGCATTTTCTTCAGTTGGGTCCCCAAACAGCACTATGATTCTAAACCAGACATTCACATTTATTCACATTTATGTTTCCTGCTCAAACAGGTCATACATGGCCTTATTCCATAAAATAATCACCATTGTTTAAAAAAAATTCCTCTAAAAATTTGTAACCCTTTGAGTGGCATTGATTTTTAGAGAAATAATTAACAGGAGGATTGTAAATGTATCCCCTACACACACAGACACACAAACACAGACACACACACACAGAGACACACACACACACACAGACACAGACACAGACACACACGCACACACACACACATGGTCCTGACTAGCATTTTTAGTGTCTGGGGCAAGCAGCACAAAATAATGGTGGCCTATGGCCATGAGTACTGAATGTGCCTTCAAATCAAGCTGGGGGAGAGGCTTCAAGACCTTAACCAATAGAGAAAGACCCTGGGACACTGCAATCTGCCAAAGGAGGAATGAGTAAGGAAAAGGACCTTTCTGTCTACAAATTTTTGCATTTTTAAAATTTTGGTGCCCTGGGTCAAAGCTCCATTTGCTCCACCCTGACTTCTGCCTCTCCCTTTCCCACAGAAGTCCAGAGTAATGCTACACCTTCCAGTAAATTACTTGCCATCTTATGGAAAAAAGCAGCATCCAAATAATGTTGTCGAATTTTAAGAGCTAGAAAACATTTGTTTTGTTATAGTCTCAATCATAATGCTTAAGACCTTATTCTCCACTCTACTCCACTCCCACTATAATAGTCAGGTATTCTGTATTTTTTTCCAATTCTTTCAGTTTAGCTTTGTATATGGAACTACAGCAACACAACTAAGAGCCTTTACTTAAATACTAATATAGTGTTCATTCTAGTAGTATTTAAGTATTTCCATTTGAAGGTTCACACATTTCAGGAGTAGCAGTGCACAAAATAAATTTAAATGTGTGTAAAATGAAGTGCAAAGAGAGTAGTGAATAAACATGAAATAGTAACAAGAGTCAAAGCTGCAAAAATTTCATAGCAGAGGGGGAAATGATGTTTAGAAGTCATGTAAGATATGCTAATGTGATCAC